TGAGGTGTCAGCCTGCCCAGGGCTCCTTGTGCAGCTGGGATGTGGCAGGAAGTGCCTCCTCAGAACCAGCCAGAGCCCCCTCCCCCCTCAGCTGCCACCCAGGTTCCTGCCTGTCCCCAGTGGCTTGTGGGGCGCGGTCAGTTTGGGGGGTTTTTATGCGGTGAGTCAGACAGTGGCGACCCGGGCGCCCATGCCCCCCTTCTCTGCCCCTTCCCGTGTGACTGGGCCCTCGAACCGCAACATGGGATGTGACTCCTCTCGGGTGAGAAGCCAGTCGGGGCCCGTGGCTTCGCACAGCTCAGCGGCGTCGTTCCGTGGCATGAAGAGCGAGCCTTGATCCAGCGGTTCCTTACGGTGCTGTTATTGCAAACATAAATCATGAGTTGTAGGGACGGGATGAATGTGAGTCTTTAACTTGCGATTTGGTCCCAGCGGCTCCAGTTTAATAAATTTTTCAAGCTTCCCCCTCCTCCTTCCACGGAGAAGCACATCCCTCGCATCCTGTCCCCGTGGACCTGGGGTGATATTATCCATTAGGGCAGCTTACAAGGCAAACAGGGAGGCCATTTCTCAGCCTGCCGCCCGAGGGGCAGAGAGGAGGCTGTGCGCGTCGAGGTGGAGCTGGGGCAGTGGCTCGGCCTCATCAGGGCGGCCGGGAGCGAGGGAGCCCCACTTCCTCTGGGCGGCCAGGAGCAAGGGAGCCCCACTTCCTCTGGGCGGCCGGGAGCGAGCAGCGACAGTTTGAGCAGAACCTGCTCATTCTTTCCTTTGGGCTCTCGGCCAGGTGTCAGCTGCCCGGCCTGACGCTCCACAGCTGGATCCCCTCAAACACGCAGCCACGTGCCACCCTCCCACGCAGGGAACCTGGGAGGGACCGACATGGCGAGCTCCCCGACGTCGGCTTCCATTCATTCATTCATTCATTCATTCATTCATTCAATCGTGTATTCGTTCAGTTGCCAACTGGATACTAAGCGCTTTCTGTGTTCCCAGGAGCTGGGACTATAAAGGGGAGTGAGACCCCCTGCCCCCCAGGCCCCTGTGCTCCGGGCAGGGGTGGGGCTGGCTGCAAGAGGGGCGAGCGCTGGAGGAGAGGCGTGGGTTCCCCATGTGGACCCTCCTCTGAGAGGCCGTTCTGCCTGGGGTGTCCCCCACTGTCACCCCAGCCTAGCGGGTGGTGGAGGCCCCGCACCCTCTGCCTGCCAGATAGCTCCTCAGTGGAGGCCGCCTCCCACCACCCAGTGCAGGAGTCTGTCTGTCCACTCCCGCCACGCCGGCTCTTGAGCCACAGGGCTGTCTTGTGGGACAAGCCCAGGACCTGGCTCTGTCGTGTCCTGTTTGTGTGGCCTCTGGCAGGTTTCCCACCTTGCGTGCCTCGGTTTCCCGGGTGTGACACGCAGCGTCTGTATCTGCTTTGGGGACTGGCTGGGAAGGTCGCCAGTGACGTTGTGGGCGGCACAGCCCAGATACCACATCGCGGGCGCTCAGCAGGGACGGTGGCTCCCGACCCGTTTCACCCCGAATGTGGCCTTTCTTCTCTGATTCCGAACGGCCGTGGCTGTGCCGCCCGGAGAATGGCACACGGGCCACACGTGGGACCGTGAGTTCTCTAGTAGCCACACCCAAACCAACAACAAAACACGAAGCAGGAAGAAAACACAACACAGGCAGGTGAATGTTCAGGATGTATTTTTGTTTAACCCAACATCCAAAATCCAGTGGCACCTCGTTCCTGGAACCGAACTCGTTCCGGAGGGCTGTTCGGAACCGGGTCATCTGTTCCCATTGGAAGTCATGTAAATGGAAGGACTCGTCCCAGACCCTCCCGTGGTCCCGCTTCACCCTTTCTGACAGGCAGGCCAGGCCTCTTGTCCTGTTTAACTGTGAGTGAGCACGAGGAAAGCAGAAGGGACGTGGAAGGTAAATGGAAATTTAACGAACAGGAAAGGGAACGCACAGTAAGATGAAAATTTAACAGTAATTATAGGCAGCAACCAAAGCAAAACACAGAACACGAAGATGTTCACGCACAATACCCTGAGATGTGAACCGTGGGAAACGGACTCAGATCGCGCAGCCTCTCCTGTGAGAGGCGCCTGAGGATCACACAGGCATCGGCGTGAAAGGGCTGTCAGTCCGAGGGGGGAGGCGTTGGGGGAGCGAGGTCCCACTGGATTACTTAGCTTGACACGACGCAGGAGCCCACGTGCTCTGCGTGACCGCGGGCACAGCCCAGCGGGACTCCCCGCGTTGGGAGCTCACAGCCACGGCGGGTAGCGGCCCAGGTGGGCAGCGGGGGTCTCGGGTCAGAACATGACCCGGGAGCTCAGAAGCCCGTGCGTCTGACCCGACAGCGCCGAGCTAGGATGATGGCCTGGGGGGCTCCGAGCTCACCGTCGAGGCCACTGAATCATGTATAATTGAACAGGACAGCAGCTGGTTGAAAACATTAACACAAAATCCTGCCACTTAAAAACGCTTCATCCTGCAAACGGGGAGGCCTGTTTTGAAATTGCTCTCACGATGAATGCCTCGCATTTGCATATGGCTTCTCCCTCCCTGAGAGCCCCTCTTCTTCCTGGGGCGCTCCGGGGAGCCTGGGGGTGCTGCTCCTCCTGTCTCAGACCTGCCTGAGTCCTGAGCCGGCCCGGGGTGATGTGCCTGAACTGGGGGAACCCTTCGCCCAGGGCTGGAAGGGAGTTTGCACACACAAGCACCACCCCGTGGGAGCCCGGTTTGGGGCTGGGTAAATGCCAGCCCAGAAATCCAGGAGGGCTCCTCAGAAGAGGTGACCACTGGGTCTTGGAGCCCAAGTAGGAGCGTCTTGTAGAGGCCTGGCTGGGACAAGTGCCCCAGAGAGCAGAAGGTGGGGAGGGGGGTGAGGCAGGAGAGCCAGGCGGGGCCATCTGCCCAGGACCTGGGGTTCCCATCTCAGAGGCGTGGCTGAGCATCCTCCCGGGGAAGCATAGAGTGGTTTGTGACACTTCCTGGGATTTACGAGGAAGCAGAATCCTCGGGGGAGGACTTCCCTGCGTCCCGGGAAGGTGTGTTCGTGGCGGAGAGCGCCTGGGTGTGCAGAGGCTGCCAGGGGTCAGTCCCACTGGCTGGAGAGGCCACCGTCACGCAGGCGGGTGACGACAAAAGTGTGTCCACTTCGGCCTCGGCTGTCAGATGCCCTGGGCCCCGCTGGTGGGGACGGGAATGATCCGCTGCCGCGGACGCCGAGACTTGTCCTCTGGGCCCGGCCCCGCTCGGGACTTGCGTTCGGAGATGCTGCCTGTCCGTCTCGGGGTCTTGTCCCCGAGCACCCAGAGCGGGAGGGACCGCGTCGTCTCACTCCCACCCGGACGAGCCCTCAGTTTCTCCCCGAGTGCTCGCTGCGGATGGAGCTGGAAGGTTTGCAGCCTTTTCCGGGGGGGCACCCCCCAATTTGTGCAGACAGCCGCACCCTCGGGCCTGAGCTGTCAGGGAAAAGAATCGGAGGCTGGTAGGGCAGCCGGAACGTTGGGAAAGCACTGGAAGGGAGGGAGACCCACAGAGCCGGAGATCCCCCCCCCCACCTTATAATCCACCTCAACCCCTGGCTGACCACGGAACCTCCCACACACGGCAAGGGGCCTCCAGTTTCCCGCCGAGAAGTCGGCAGCTGGAGGCGGAGTCAGCAGCCACGGCAGCGGCTGCCCACTGTCCGAGCCCAGCGGACGGTCTCAGGCGGCTCCAGCCGCTATGAAGCATCCTGTCCCATGTCCGAGGAAGTCCTCAAACTTGCAAAGAAACAGGAAAGAAGGAGCCGTCGTCAGAATGAAAACGGGCCCCGAGCAGCCCGCCTTGCTGACTGCGCACTGTGAATGCGGTCAGGAGCTCCGGGGGGAAATGTGCCGAATGAGTGACGGGGGCTCAGCGGAGAAACAGAAACGCAGAGAAGGGCCGAGTGGCCTCACCGGGACTCGAACCGTGACCTCCGGGTTCATAGGTCGATGCTCAACCACCGAGCCACGCCGGCCGGACCCCTCCAAGCATCTTTCAAGCCCATCTGTCCAGGAAGCTCCCTGAGCAGGAGGCAGTGGCACGGGAATAGGTCCCCCAGATCCCAGAGATCTCGGCAGGCCGCCTGCCCCGTGCATCCCGCTTTCCCTCTGCCCCGAGAGAGCCGTGGGCGCCATGGGCGTGCGTGGGGCAGTGAGAAGGTTGCATCTCAAGCTCCGAGTCCTGTGGGGGGGCTGCAGGGAGGTCCTGACAGGGCAGGATCCCGAGCGGGTGGGACAGCGCGGGGATCAACTGGAATGTCCCCCAAACATGGGAGAAGGCAGCTCTCATGCTGGCGGTTTGGTGCCCCTGCACCAGTGACCTGGAGGCCCCTTTCTGGGCCTATTTCCCGTTCTCTTTATTAATGTCATTTGTTCGTAAAATGTGTAGCTGCCCAGGCCCCACTGCACGCCCCTCCTTCCACTGGCCCTGCGGCCTCGCCTGCCTCTGATGGAGCAGCCTGCGGTGTCCTGTCTCTCCTCTGTCCCACGCGGCCACAGTCTTGACACTGGCCTTGTCACCAGGCCTGCTCTGCTGTGCGACAGGAGCCGGGCAGCCGGTACCTGCAGGGCCTGCCTGGACCTCGGGTACCGGCGGGCAGGGCCTTGGGCGCTGTTTCCTTGGGGGCAGCGTCTACAGGGACAGGGAGGCCGAGTGCTCGGCTGCAGGTGCCAGGCCTGGCCGTGGCAAGGGCATGGGGCCGGGAGGCAGGAGCCCGGGCATCGGAGCTGGGCACCGCCTGACTGGCCTGCGAAGACTCCTGCGGGGTCCCCCTGGGCCTCCCCGTGTCCCTGGCAGTTAGTGAGGGGCTGGGGAGTTGGGGCTCTGTCTCGGGGTCCTTCTGAAGCACGGCAGGCAAAGCAGGAGCCGGGCTCTGCACGCTGCCCGGTTTAAACTACGCCTGGGAGGCAGGTGCCCACCCTTAGGCCGGGAGACGGCGGCATCCCGCCCCTCTGACCGCTCCCTCCCCGCAGCGAGCACGACGTGGGGGAGGACATCTACGACTGCGTCCCGTGTGAGGATGAGGGGGACGACATCTACGAGGACATCATCAAGGTGGAGGTGCAGCAGCCCATGGTAAGCGCCCCCTCCCCACCCGGGCCCGCGCCCACCACGCCCTCTTCCTCGCCCGCACGGGCTTTTAGACTTGGCAGAGCAGTCTGCCCTTTTAAAAAATATATATACTTTTATTGATTTTGGAGAGAAAGGGAGAGGGAGGGAGAGAGAGAAACACCAGTGATGAGAGAATCATTGATCGGCTGCCTCCTGCACGCCCCACGCTGGGGATCGAGCCCGCAACCCGGGCCTGTGCCCTGACCGGGAATCGAACCCTGACCTCCTGGTTCATAGGTCGACGCTCAACCACTGAGGCCCGCCGGCCGGGCTGATTCTGGCCCTTTCTTTAAAAATGAGCCGACCCCGGCCCGGGCCACTGAGGGGGAGCTGGTCCGGTGTGGAGGGAGCTGCAGAGGCTGCCCCCGTCCCTGCGAAGTCTCCTCAGGAGGCTGGGATGTGACGTGCCCTTCCCGTGTAGCCGTGGGATTCTTGGAGGCTATGCGGGGCTCGGAGTCCCTCCCGCCCGGGAGCCGCCAGCTCACACCACACGCGTCAGCTCACACTGCACGCTCCGGCCTCTCTGGGCAGCGTGATCATCCCAGTTAGCCAGCTGTGCGTCCTCTGTGCGAGGGTGTCTGTTTCCAGCCGGGAGGCTGACAGCCTGGGACGCCCGTCGGCTGCAGTTTGGGGTTAATGCCCACAGCTGCTGTGGGGAGGCGGGTCCTGCTGGCCGGGCCGGACCGGGCCGGGGAGATGGGACCTGGCCACAGCCCCTCGGGCCCCCACATAGGGGCATGGAGGTGCCACCTTGGGAGGCTTTTGATGCCATTTGCTTTCACACAAGAAATGGGGGAACGTCTCAGAAAGGGAATTCGGGGTCCATGTGGGAGTGAGCAGTGGCGGCGAACACACGAAGCGGGGAGCCGCTCCCCCGGCCTTTCAGAGAGGCTTTCCCACTCGGGTGCCTGCGGCCCCTCCGGCATCACGCGGGGGAGACGGGACATGCTGGGCGCGGCGCTCGCCGCCCCGAAACTGCCCTGAAGGGTGTGGTGGGTTCCCTTCCCCTCAGTAACCAGGCCGTGGCCCCGGGCGGTCCTGCCCCCCTGGGGGGTGTTGGGGGCTGGAAGGCCACCCGCGCCTGTTGCTGGAGGTCCCTGCTTCCCCGCCCCCAGCTGCCCAGGAGCCTGGCCGGCCTCTGGGCTCCCCCAGCCCTTTGGGAGCCGGTGTCCTCTGGAGCGAGGACAGGACCGGAGCCCAGGTC